ACGTAATGTTATGCATATAACTACTGTTCCCTGAAGGAAAGGAACGAGGTACAACACATGTTGGCCCCGCTGCACAGCTGGGCTCGGTGAACAATATTTCACGGTGACAATATTTATATGTGCAGGCGGAGCCTGACATCTGTCGTCATCACGTCACCTGCCTAAAGGCGTGATTAGAGGTGGCTTCAGCCAGGACACGCAGGGGCGTGGTTCCCATACATGATGTTGTACCGAGTGAATTGACTGAAAGGGAACTAGCTGGTGAAAATGCTGTGAAATGGAGATTTTTCACGTCAAATTTCGCCAGCTACGTTTGAACCCAGTGCACGTCCACCTGGTGGTGGAATGCTGTCATTTCACAGATAAAATAATTAGCATGCATTATGGGAAATGTAGTTTATGGTCAATGCTGTGTGACTTTAAAGCAGCATTATCTTATTTTAAGACAATACGTTTTTGAAGCTCTTGCGGGCGACATAAAAAGCTGTGGCGGACCACAAGTTTAACACTTGTGGTCAAAACCTTGAAAGTGACTTTCTGTTGAGGATTAACTCATGTCGGCTTCAAAACTTGAGTCAAACACACCACTTGTGGTGGTTTTCTAAAACGTCATGACGGGTGTCACCTGACTTTACTGTAAAGAGAAAAACCTTTTTTTCTTCTAATATTTCAGCTGTAATCCTTGTTGATTTAATTAAACATTGCTGCACATATTCTTGTGCCTAACTTTATTCTAATTTTCTTCTCTTCTCTGTGTGTCTAGACCTTGAACCTGGCCTACACCAGCATATTTAGCTGCTACAGGAACTTTCTGGGGCCCCCTCACATTAAAGCCATGTGCAGACTGCTGGGCTACCAGGGCATCGCTGTGGTGATGGAGGAGCTGCTTAAAGTCGTCAAGAGCCTGGTGAGGAGGATGAGGAGCAGGGACTGTGTGCAGAAGGCCTGGCCTCAGGGCTGGAACAGGAAAAATCCAGAATGTCAGAGGAAATACTGCAGTTTCAGTTGGTTTGTTCTTGGCTGTGCAGCTTCAGGGGACCATACTGCAGTACGTGAAGACTCTGATGGAGGTGATGCCCAAGATTTGCAGGCTTCCTCGCCATGAGTACGGCTCTCCTGGTAGGTGAAAATATAACCTGGATTCACACAGAACTCTCTGCTTCAGAGACATTAAAGATCAACTGTGTGGGAGATAACAGGGCCATCTTTGTGTTCCAGGTATCCTGGAGTTCTTCCACCACCAGCTGAAGGACATCGTCGAGTACGCCGAACTGAAGACCGTGTGTTTCCAGAACCTGAGGGAGGTGGGAAACGCCCTCTTGTTCTGCCTGCTGAGTGAGCAGAGTCTGGTACGGATCATAAATCTGCAGTGTAAAGATCTTGTTTTGTGTTGGCGCCCAGCAGCTGTTTAACGTCTCCAGCATCTGTTCTAGTCGCAGGAAGAAGTTTGTGATTTGCTCCATGCTGCACCGTTCCAGAACATTCTGCCCAGAGTTCATGTCAAAGGTAAATATTGTGTTGTAGAGCAGTGACTCTCAGCTTCTACCAGATATGTTTTTAGTTTAATATCCTTACAATCACTGACTTGTAGCTATTTTAATAAATGACATATTTTGCTAATCACCATGCAGTTATACACACATGACAGAACACAAKTGTGGCTTGGAGATCTTTGTAGCAGTTTAGATAACTAACACAGACAGGACTTTAAACTAGATTCAGTAACAGTTTTACTTTAATTTACTGAATTTCTTAATATCACGTCAAGTTCTCTAAGCCGGTGGTTCCCAAACTTTTTGTCTTCTGACCCACAAACTATCAAGGGCAAAAACTTGTGACCCCAAATATTACTGGTCTGAGTACATGAACTTCATTAATAACCCTAAAAACACAGGCTTTTTGACAATATAAACAGCTTATACACAAATATAAATACTTTTTTTCACTTATTTTGTGTTTTTGTATTGATTATAGGGAAAATATTACATCACCAATTATTTTATTACCCTTTAAATTGATTTCTGGAGATTATCAAGGTGCTTCATGACCCATAACTGGGTCCCAAGCCCAACTTTGGGAACCAAAGTGCAGTGGTTCCCAAACTTTTCAGCTTTTGACCCACAAATAACAGTAGCAGAGACCTGTGACCCCAACTGTTTTTGGATGATAAACATTTGTATCAGGTCAACAAAACATGGGCATAGTAACAATATTTTTTATACTACATTTATCCGTTTTAAATACACTAACCTCACTCCTTTGTAACAACTAAGGCAAAAATGTVATTAATTCAGAAAATCTTTTCAGGACCGCACCTTGATGTTTCGGGACCCCACTTTGGGTCCCGACCCCAACTTTGGGAAACACTGCTCTAAGCCACTTGTGTCWAACTCAAGGCCTGCTGGCCAAATCTGTCCCTTAACATTTTATCTGGCCCCAAAAGTAATATTTTAAATGTAGTTTTATCATTTCTCTTTGTGTTACTGCAGTCTTTTCACAGCCATTAGTGGTCGACTTAAATTCTGTATTCTCTATTTTTAAAGTCAAATAATTGAAATTTTAGTGAAGTTTTTTTTAGCTTTTTTGCTTGATTGTGATTAAAATGTACTGTATCTCTAATAATCAGTCAATGAAAATGTGTTTTTCTAAATCAGAGGTGCCCAAAGTGAGGCCTGTGGGCCAATGATTACTAGGTTGTAATCTGTTGTCCTATGTAGTGCTGGGCGGTATGACCAAAATTTTAAATAACATTTTCAACACTGGTTTCACGGTATATCACGGCATTTTTCTTTTCATCACAGGCCAGCTGATAATAAAATGTACAAACACTGCTTGTTAACTTTTTTCTTTTACAGTACCTCTGCCTGTGTTGCTGTTTCCCTCCTCTGTGTGTTTTCTCTGACTGGTGGTTGTACTAGACAGTAATCACACATTTTGGTCCGGTCGTGAAGGAGGAGGGTTAAGAAAAGATTATGATCGGGTTTATTGTTTTATGTTATTTAATAAAGCTTATCAGCACGACTCACCTTGCACACCAGTCAACTCAACTCCACTACAAACTACTTCCCCCGGGCTTTTCACAATAGAACCACGCTAAAGTCTCCATGCATTAACGTCTCCATATTAACGTCGCATGTTTAATCTGTGAACGCCACTGAAGAGGTGTTTACTACATTCAGCGATGGCGAAAACGGGATGTTTTTTTAATGTCAGTCAATATAAGCAGCAGAATCGCTACCCACCGCTGCAACAAGCTGCTCAACAATAACATTAGCATGCTAATGCGCATAGCGGTGCTGCGAGGAAAAGTGTCCCCTGGGAAACAGTTCACTGGCGGGCACAACGAAACGTTCCGAACGTGTTCAGGCTTTTTAAACCGGTATGTCTGGTAATCAGAAAATTCATATCATAGCAAAAATAAAAAACTGTATTCAGTATGAACCAGTATACCGCCCAGCACTAGTCCTATGTAGAAACACAGTATTTCCACCTAAAGTCATCCCCTTTATTGGCCCACTGACTATATAAGGGGCAGTTAGTCAAAAACGTGGGCCACCACACTGTCTGCTAGTTTTAATCATTAAATAAAAGGACTGTACCAAAAATGTATTTGTATTTCTGCACTACACTCCTGTTCTATAAATACAAGCTGCACCGGAGCATCCGGTCAGAGGCAGGTTAAAATTTAAACACTGAACTAAACAAGCGTAATTATTCAATCTGTTCTGATTGCACCACTCCAGAATCAACTTGTATCATCCATATTTAGCTACTTTGTAAAAAATGAGCTGATTGTGACATCTGGTCAAACGCTACAGTGTTCCCACTGGAGTTTGATGGAGGTCATATTTAAAATACAATGTGAATTGCAAAAACATGGACTTGACCATTAAGACCTGCAGTGTGAACTTAGCCTCAGTAATCCCACTTCCTGTCTTTGTTCTGTAGAAGGGGAACGCCTGGATGCCAAGATGAAGCGCTTGGAAGCTAAATACACGGCGCTGCACATGGTCCCACTCATAGAGCGCCTTGGAACCCCCCAGGTAGAACCAGTGTGACCGTGACAAAGTTTCTTTATAACAACAGAATCATTGTTTAGATCTTGAGGACATCAGTTTCTTCTGGACTCATTCCTCCCCTGCCGGACTTTTCTTTAGCAAATAGCCATTGCCCGTGAAGGTGACCTGCTGACCAAGGAGAGGCTGTGCTGCGGCCTGTCCATGTTTGAAGTCATCCTCGCGCGCGTGCGAGGCTTCTTGGACGACCCCATCTGGCGCGGGCCGTTGCCCAGTAACGGCGTGATGCACGTGGACGAATGCGTGGAGTTCCACCGCCTCTGGAGCGCCATGCAGTTCGTGTACTGCATCCCTGTGGGAGCGCACGAGTTCACTGTGGAGTGAGTGTCGCAGCGTGCACRGCAGCGGCAGCTCTGGGGTTGCCAGACCCTCACTCGTGTTTGCCCTCTCCTTGTTCTCCAGGCAGTGCTTTGGAGACGGTCTCCACTGGGCGGGCTGCATGATCATCGCTCTCCTGGGCCAGCAGAGACGCTTCGACATCCTCGACTTCAGCTACCACCTCCTGAAGGTGCAGAAACACGACGGCAAAGATGAGGTCATCAAGAGCGTGGTGAGTTAGAGACGAAGAATAACACAACACTGTTACACAACCTTCAAGCTGTATTCAGCCTAAAGCTGGGAAAAACTCACCCTGATAAGTATGGCGTTACATTTGTGCCACCAGCTTGAGCGCGCAGTAACACTGATTTGAGAGCAGATCTCAGTGTTGGCACAAATGTAACACCATAGATATCATGATAAAAAATGCTGCCATTTTGTTGATGATGAACTGATTCTCTCTCTTTTTTTGTGCGTTACAATATGCTCTTGTCTATATTTGAGTTATTCTTGTTATCTTTCATTGTGCTGGAACCTGAGTTCATGTTTCCTTGTATCATGAGCAAACATGAATTGTGTTTTACCACCTACTATGTTGCCTCTGTGTCCGTCCTTGTTTTCGACATACTTAATGTTAGCATTTATTTAGGGAAGCACTGATATGAAAATTTCAGCCTATATYAGATAYTAATATTGCTGTTATGGCTGATAAACGATATTTACAGATATTACATAAACACACACATTATTATATACATACACACACAAACACACTTGTGTGTTTTTTCGATACCATAAAAAATCAACCAGATCTCTGACATAACGCTACTTCACTTATTTCTGGCTGTGCAGCATCACTATCATGATCAAACAGATACCACTTGACCGACAATCTCTCCTCCAGAAACAGAAACACAAAGCGAAAAAATGGGAAATCAACATCGGACGTTAATATCGGCCCAGTTTTACTTTTCGGACCGATACGATATTCTACAAAATGACCAACATCGGCCGATACCGATGATTTACTGATGGTGGTCAGAGGGTCCGGTGGCGCCGGTGCATGGCAGCCYCRCCTCTGTCAGTGTGTCTCAGGGCAGCTGTGGCTACAGTGTAGTTTGCCATCATCARTGTGTGAATGTGAGTGTGAATGGGTGAATGTCTGTTAGTGTAAAGTACTTTGGGGTCCAGAGGGACTTGATAAAGCGCTCTACAGTATAAGTTCAGTCCATTTAATGCCGATACATCGTGCATCCCTACGTTTTTGCTAATATTTGACCTGTCTTCCTCCAGTTCTCCGTAAATTTGTTGATCTTCCTCGCTTTTGTCAAGATCCTCGTCTTCCTCCACAGCTCGAGAATTTACCAACACTTCTCTGAAGTGTTGCCGTTATTGTCCCAGAGGTTTCACAACAAAATAAAATTTTTAGGTTTTTTGACACGGTGGAAGCAACCCGTCAGAATAAAAGCGGTAACACACAACTGTTCCTTGCAATGACTTCTGGTTTAGTGGTTCAGTCCCAAGATAACRCGTTGATTTAATTAGCCTCCTACATTACAGGACCTGCAGTGGGATTATATTACACACATACTGATGCGATACTCAAATAATATACATATATCGTGCAGCTCTAGTGTTTTTTACATGACTTTTGGGTTTAGACCAATATTTATATTTCCAGCTCCTGAATGACAGGACAGTGATAAAGTTTAGTTATGAGCTGTGTTCGAATACAAAGACTATTCCAGATATTTTAAGATGAACATTGTCTGGGTTGTAGATTATGAATGCTATCGGGTCATTAAGTCTAACATGGGTTCAGAGCTCAGCTAAGATCAAAAGGTATTGCACTTGTCTTAAAAATAATTCCTTCAAAGTTTCATAGTAGTTCAAATAAAAACCTTTTAACCTTTGCACTGCTTTCAGTTTTATATCACACTCTTACTTTAGTAGAAATATAAAATTTCTGCTGAAAGTGATTTTAGACTTTACCTTCAGCTGCTGTTTGTTCTTTCAAATAATGTTGTAAATAATCTTGTGACGAGACATGATGACTGTAAAAGTTCATGATGTTCACACAAAGACCTGTAATGTTTAAGGCTGTGATCTACTTTAGTCTTGGCTGGAGTCAGTCCTGCCAGGCTTAAACTGTGTTTCAGGTGGATCAATGGTCAGCACTTTTGACTCACAGCGAGAAGATCGTGGGTTAGGTTAGGGTTTGGACACGGGGGTTGCCTCCCTTATAAAAGAGACCTGTGGTGTTCATGTGGTTAGTCTGGTTGTATTTGAACATTCAGCTACTCAAYAGTGATCTAGTTTCCTTCATGTGGAACTGAATCTGTGATCCCGAGTCTGTCCAGATAACAGAAGCAAACAGAGCTCCTGCTTCACTTCAGGGAGTCCAGAGTAACAGCTTTACATCCCCACTACTGAACGTCATCCTTCATGGTGGTCTCATGATAGTGGTGGTCACCAATACGCTCATCTGACTTCAACATGTACTCTACCAGCTGTCAGCTGTTTGATTTCCACAACAAAGAAAGAGCAGTTACTGGTGATAGTTACAACAGGAGTCCTCAGAGTTCAGGGTATTCAGAAATATTAAATTTGTTTTTGTTTTCCAAGTTAAAATAAAGTAAGAAAAAAATGTGTTTTTGGACTTTTCCTTCTTAAATGAGAGATTATGGTCAAATAATGGAAAAGGGTGTCATTRTTTTAGTTAATTAAAACTAACTAAATAACGGAAACTGAAATTGAAAAAACACTGTAGTTAACTGAAATAAATAAAACCTGTAATAAAATGAAAAAAATAACTAAAACTGTATTATCTTCTTACAAAACTAAAACTAGCTGAAATTATAGATAAAATATCCTTAGTTTTAGTGTTTGTCAATTTATTTTGAGCCGTGTGGACTGATTAAACTAATATTTTTCTTCAAATTGAGCAGTTTCACATTAACTGTGGGCAGTTTACGACACATCATGGTCTGTAACGTCGCCTGTTTACAGTCTGCTGCTGCTCAGTGCTCGCCTGCAAAATGACAACAACAAAAGTTGGGAGAAAGTAGTAAAGTCCAATTTGGGATTTCTTCGAATATGACTGAGAGAAAATGAAAAGCGTCTTGTAGCGGAAACAGGTAATAGAGTAGGTGGAATACTTCTCAAGGGACTAATTAACTGAGTATCTTGACAAGCTAGCTTCTCTCAAAGGCACAGTGTGTAGGATTTGTTGTTTTCAGCGACATCTAGTGGTTGAGTGGTTGAATCATCCTCCCTGGTCCTCCCCCCACCCCCACCCCCCGCTTCCAAATGCAAAGGAGTTGCTACGGTGTCTCTCAGGTGTCAAAAACCTTTGATAATTCCAGCCTCGATGTCTACCAGCAGCTTCAGGGCTAGTGATGTTTCAASTGGTAAGATTATGAGCTTTAATAAGTAAAATTATCCCAGCTACAATGACAGACAACAAATATTACATTTATAGTATTACAACTAAAACCGTTTTTGATGACGCCACCGCAGTTTGTCCTTCATGAGCCGTCGTAGACAAGATTGCGGTGCAAGATGGCGGCTGCCTGTAGGGCGACCCTCGACCATGGAGATATAAACAGCTTTTTATAAGGTAAAAATAATAAAACAAGGTCTTTGTCTGCAATGATTAGACATGTTTTTTATTATTGTCATTAGTGATTATCTCAATTTCGGCTAAAAGAATTGACAAAATCCTACACACTGTGCCTTTAATAGTTTCCGTGAAAACAAAAAAACAAACAAACAAACAAGTCCAGCCAGGTAGCACCAGGATCTAGACAACTCTTGTCACCTTCTTAAAACAATTGCACAAGTCCTTTATTGGCAAAATTGAGTTACAGGATTATGTTAGGAAGGTGTTGCTATAACAGACTGCTTTGACTGATGATCAAAAAAGCTGCTGGTTAGTTAACTCACAGGAACACTTCAAGCTGGAGGTTGCATTGGCAAATATCAAACTACAAAACAAAACTTAATACTAGAACTAATAAAAACTAAACTAAAACTAAACAATAAAAATTCAATAATAACTAATAAAAACTAGGAAATCCACTGTAAAAGCTAATTAAAACTAACTGAATTAAAAAAGTCACAACTAAATAAAACTAAACTATAATGAAAAGTCCTAAACTTATAACCTTGGTGTCATGAGGTCACCTTGTGATTGATTTCTCACATCAGTCCTTGAGTTTAAACTGTTGCTGAAGGAAGAGAGCCAACAGAAGGGGACACATTCAGTTTCACAGACACTGTGTGTACTTCTGGTGAGAACAGGCTTTTTTCTGTAATATGTCTTTAGATGAGTTTTACTATGACAGCATCTTGCAGCGCAGCTATGAATGCAAACATAGWAAACACTAAACAGTTAAACATGTTGCTGACAGATCTGCAGCTCTGCAGGCTGTCTTTTCTCAGTGGAAGTGTAGTTTTATAAAATCAGCATTGTACTGGTTTAGCTGGGCTGCCTGACTGTGGTGGGGGTGAGGGATACTCTGGACATCTGAAAGCACTTTGTTTGGTTCATGTTTCTTTATCTTAGAACCAATAAACTGTTAGGACATTTTATTAACTTTAATTAATTAGTGTTTGGTAATTTTTTTTGTAACGATGCTTTTTAGCAACGAATCTTATAATATTTGAAATCCTGTTCATTTCCTTTTAAATAGAACCACGTTTGTAAGGAACATGCATGTGTGGGATGAGCTGTAGAGCTGAGGATGTGGGTTGTGAACATGAAAAATTAGCTAAATCTTCTCTGTCAAACAGATTATTATTATTTTGTTGTTGTTACTTTGGAGACTGTCTCCATTATTTTGTTTTGAGCTTCTGGTACTTCCAGGTGCTGCTATAAGATTTATTGTTACAGAAAAGAAATAATCTACCAAACACTCATTTATTAACTTTTTTATATATAAAGAAACACTTGTAAAKTGAGCTGTGGAGAAACAGCCATGAACTTATCTATTCAGGAACCAAAACATTTAGAGAATGCCGAAAATGATTTATTTCTGCTAAATTAAAAGTTGTTGGCATTAAAACTTTAAATATATCTCAGTGGGATTCAATTCAAATTCAAAAATACTTTATTGATCCCAGAGGGAATTTGTGTAATGGATGACAGGATGCTAGGTTTATTCATAAAATGATGTGACTTATAATGCATTATTTCACTGTGTTTAAATGAAATAAATCATCTTTAATGCTGAAGCAGAATTAAAGTCTTGATGCTAAATTAACCACCTGCTGCTTTTATCTGTAACTGATAGTGAATCAGGTCACTTCAGATATTTCATTCCTCAGTTGTAAGATTAAAGTTGTTACTTCAAAAAAAAAAGTTCAAGAGTTGTGATGAAAAAATTAAAGCTCAGCTGATTTTAATGCTGTTCTTCACAGAATGATCACATCTTCACTTTATCAAACTCTTTTCTGAAGCTTAAAATCTTGATGTTTGATTCCTCTTAATCTCTATTCAACCCTCTGCACACAGTTATCAGCAACCAGTTGAGCCAGTTCAGTGGAAGACTGCTTTTCCCAATGCAGAACCAMCAGACTAAGAAAGTGTTTTGTCCCTCAAGCGATAAGGCTGTACAACTCCTCACTGGGAGGGAGGGGTCCAACTAGTCTACAGCATAACTAGTGTATAATGTTTACTTTGACCTTCGCTTTGATTGTTGTCTTGTTTTTATGATGTTAAATGTGCAATATCTCCATTTGACTGGTACATTGCTTCCCTTATTTTAATCTGTATTGTGCTGATGCTGCTGGAAACGTAATTTCCCTGAGGGAACCCTCCCAAAAGGGAWCAATAGTTTTATCTAATCTAATCTAATCTATTCTCAGAAAAGGCTATTTTCACTTGTTTATTCTCCGCATTTTGCTAATAAACTGTAGTTTAGAGGGAAAAGTAGCAGATTTGAAAAGAACGTGTTGTAATTTTAAGTTTTAACTCATTTTTCTTYTAGCCTCTGAAGAAGATGGTGGACAGGATTCGCAAATTCCAGGTTCTCAACGACGAGATCTTTGCCGTCCTGAACAAATACCTGAAGTCTGGAGACGGGGAGAACATGCCGGTGGAGCACGTCCGCTGCTTCCAGCCTCCGATCCACCAGTCGCTCGCCAGCAGCTGAGGCGCTGCTACAAATATAAACCCTGTGGACCAGTGACAAGTTCCAAACACTGCCAGCATTACCAGAACATCCACACCTTGTTTTTAGCTCTTTAGTGACAAAGGACCATTAAATCCAATAAGTTGGGCCACYTTTTTTTTTGTATTCACTTGTGCCTTATGAGAAAAGAATTAATTATTTTATACTTTAAAAAAACAACAGATGAGGGATGGAAGCTAGCTTTTTATCAGATGACTATTTAAAGGTTTGCAGTGGTGAAATATTAGGTGGAAGTAATTTTGTACTGCATGCTAAAACATTAAAGGAAACAAAAGTAGCAAAGCTTGTACTCATGTTAAGCATTCACTGTGCCTTGTAATGTTTTAATCATTTTAATTCAATAAATATGTTACAAATCTGTTTGTCAGGAGTTTATGTAACACCCCCACATGAAAAAGAAATCAGAACGACTCCCAAAGTAAATTGTTACGTTTCAAGTATCACAAAAACTCAAATCAGAGTGAATACCCAATTAGACGTAATCATCGTCAGTAGGTCCTTGTACAGAATATATATTTATATTTTTACTGTTTCGATTCTTGATTCATACAAAGTTCAGTGCATGAAAAAGCATTGGAAAACATCTCATAAAAAGAAACCTCTTTACAGAGCTACAGAGGAATGAAATGAAGTCCTGTAATATGACCGAGTCATATTCTGAGAGAAGTAAGGCAAATTAAAACAAATACAATCTGGGGGTCCGTCCGTCCCCCCCTCACAGTTGATTGTCTCATTTAGAAACCACGGTTAACCCAAARGAAAAACAGTTTGTTAAGCGTCTAAAGAGGAAGTCATTGCTCCGTTCCTTCTAGACACGCTGTCAAAAGGAGACACGTCCCTGTCCTCCATGTCCTCTGTGGACTCGTTCTGTAGCAGCTCGTAGGTGGAGTGCGACGCCATGCCGTTGGACACGGGACCGGCCCGCTCCTCCCTCCTTATGGACACGGCCAGGGCGGCCAGGCTGACGCTGACGTCTTTGAAGGCGTGGAGCAGGAAGATGCCCACAATGATGGTGAGGAAGCCGCTGAGCGTCCCTATCACGTCGTCCACGCCCATGTGCTCCCACTCCTTGAAGAGGATGGCGGAGCAGGTGAGCACCGACGTAGTGAAGAACACGTAGTAGATGGGCGTCACCAGGGAGGTGTTGAATATGTCCAGGGCCTTGTTCAGGTAGTTGATCTGTGTGCTCACGCAGCCCACCAGGCCGAAGAGGAGGATCCAGGCCAGTGGGTTTTTCAGCACGTTCTTCCCTGCAATCGCCTCCTTGATGGCRATCCCCAGTCCTTTGACGCAGGACACAGACAGCGCCCCTATCACCGAGCAAATGGTGATGTAGACCAGGATGTTGGTCTGACCGTGGCGTGGACTGACGACAAATATGAAGATCAGAGCCACGATGACCACCAGAGTGGCAAAGACAAAAAATCCTGAGAAAATTGACAACAAAAAAAAACAGAATTTGATAAATGTCATATTTCAGCAATGACTGGGAGTCCTTACTAGTCATAACATTAAATGTTTGATAAACATTTACTTCAGCTATTAAAAAACAAGACTGTAAAAATAATGTAGGCTCAGTTTTTATAAATTACATTTGTCACAGGAACATCCGTGTTATTTATACCACAAAGCATATTGGGTAAATGATGCTTACAAGGTGCTCCTGTGTGAGTTCTATCCATCATGTTCATTTTAGACAATAACTGAACTGGAGCACATTGACAGAGAGGAGAATGTAGAAATGACTGACTGAAACTGAAAACAATGGAGGACAGCTCACCTCAGCTTTAGCATTTTAGCTTTCTCGTTAGCTCCTGAGCTAATACACATATAAGGCAATATATAGTGTTAGCTCCTGAGCTAATACACATATAAGGCAATATATAGTGTTAGCTCCTGAGNGGCAATATATAGTGTTAGCTCCTGAGCTAATACACATATAAAGGCAATATATAGTGTTAGCTCCTGAGCTAATACACATATAAGGCAATATATAGCGTTAGCTCCTGAGCTAATACACATATATGGCAATAGTGTTAGCGCTACAGTTAATATACATATATAGCAATTTATAGAGTTAGCTCCCAAGCTAATATACATATATGGCAATATATAGCATTAGCTTCCAAGGTAACACACATAAATGGCAATGTATAGGGGTAGCGCTAGAGTTAATATATAGCAATATTTAGTTAGCTCCCGAGCTAATACACATATATGGCAATTATGTAGTGTTAGCGCTAGAGTTAATATACATATATATAGCAATACATAGAGTTCACTCCCAAGCTATTATGCATATATGGCAATATATAGGGTTAGCGCTAGAGCTAATATATAGCAATATATAGTTTTCTCCCAAGCTAATACACATACATGGTAATACAGAGTTAGCTCCTGAGCTCATATGCAAATATGGCAATATATAACGTTATCTCCTGAGCTAGTACACATTTATGGCAATATGTAGCGTTAGCAGCACCTGATTTAATACACATACTATATATGGCAATATATAGCATTATCTCCTGAGCTAATACACATTTATGGCAATATGTAGAGTTAGCGCCTGAGTTAATACACATATGTATATTAGATCACAAGCTAATACACTAAAAATCACATGCAGAATATTGAAACTAATACAAAATCTAAATGTATTGTCATACATTCTAGCTTTTAACCTAGACACTGTTTTAATCTCAACTGCAACCCATCATATCCAGAATGTCCTGTGTCAGTAAAAAAAATGGAGACGTGCTTTAGTGGAAAACGTAATAAATAGGGTTGGACGGTGTGTGAAGTATTGGGTATGTACTGTCTTCTGAAAGAGCCCAGAATGTCCCAGTTCTCAGAGCAGGCTTGTGGAAATTTGGCTCATCACCTCATGAATATACCGTCACCATACCATAATACTGTTATACCGCTCAAGCCTAGTAATAAACATATACAATTTTTTAAACACTAACATGTTTTTACAGGTCACAAACAACTTTCTGCAGAATAAAGAAGTCAACATGTGACAGAAGTCTGGTATCCCTTTGAGAGTTTATTAGACTCTACAGAGCACAGTGTCTGTACCTGGGTCAACCAGTTTCTTGGCCATGTCTTTGAGGCTGCTGATCTCCTCCTCCTGTGGGGCGTGGATCACCATGGTGGTGGAGCCGAGGATACTGAGCAGGCAGCCCAGTTTCCCGTGCAGGTTCAACCGCTCCGTCAGGAAGTACGACGACAGCACGGCACTGCAACAAAAAACACCGCTGTAAGAACGTGATGCCGAGGTGGCTCCTGTAGGCATGCAGGAAGAAGCTAACGCTGTTAGCAGCTGGGGATGCAGCTACTTAGAAAAACAAATCTGCAGGAGATGACATGCTTTCATGCCTGACTATTCACACAAGAACAAACAAAATGTGCTGTCCTTGTAAATGTTCGTGTGCATCAGAGAGAGTAATGAGGCCTGAGTTACCAGATTAGAGCTTTTGGTGTCAATGTGACGGGCTGACGCCGTGCACAGAAAGTTTAAGTATCGGTACAGTACCTGACGAGCACGCTGAGCGCTCCCAGAGGCGTGACTAAAGTTGCAGGAGCAAAAGCGTAGGCTGCAAARTTGGCTGCTTCTCCAGCACCCACTAGGAAAAGATGAAGACAAAGTTGGACAACAGAGCCAGCTGTGGTCAGACGCTACATCACTGTGGTTTAAAATGTTGCAACGCTTAATCACAAGAACCTGCCCATTCATTATATTCAAACGTTTACTATCCAGTCTGTGTTTAAATTAAACAGGAATAATGCAGTTCCTGGTACCCTAAACATAGTAAAACTATTTTCATAAAATTGTATGTAATTTACCAGCTGAGCTAGAAGTAATAAAATAATTGCACCAGCAGCCAGTCATCACTTACTTGATAGTAAACCGGCCCACCACAGCCACTCTTTAAGATATGCATGACCGCCCTGGCCTGAAAAACAAAAAAAGCTGTTAAAGGAATATTTTGACCATTTTGAAGAGAACTTTGGTGTAAAAGTTAAAAACACTTCCTTAGTTGATGTTGCTGTCTTCAAACAACTGYAGTCTTGAAAAATTAATAGCGATTTATACAAATGTAATTGATAAACCTATACACTGCTGTCAATTTTGCATTTCCAGCAGAAATATTTATACTTGGCACAAAAAGTCAGTAAATTAGTGGTACATTATTTATTTTTTGAAATAAATCTTATCGCGGGCACCTAATTGCAGAGTTGTAAAGTAACTAAGTAGAAATACTTTGTTACTGTACTTAAGTAGAATTTTTGGCTACCTGTACTTTACCTGAGTAATTATTTTTCAGCCTACTTTTTACTTCTACTTCTTACATTTTCACACAATTATCTGTACTTTCTACTCACTACATTTTAAAAAAAGGTAAGAAGTATAAAATTGTTACTCATTTCATTACAGCCTGTTAAAAAATACTATCCTGATAAACTGTGCCTCCTGGATAGAGCGAACTTAATTGTGGTTGGATGAGAAGTAAACATTTAAACCATTCTGATACTGTATTCGTTTGTACACAATCCATCACAGCTGCAAATGACAGAAACATGTCACACTCAACAGGACATAGCAGACGTAGTGTATGTAGTCCAGCACAAAGATGTCTATGATATACTGTATATGCTGAAACGGGTAGACTAGTGCATCCTAAATTTTTTAACATTACCATTTTTATGACATTAGTCATTTAGGCCTGTAGAAAAATGTTTTTTAGGGTGTCACCTCCCAGTAAATGTCGTTTTACTCAATACTTTTACTTTTGATACTTTAGTACATTTTATGTAAGAAATTTCCTTTTAATACTTAAGTACAACATACAGTGGGTAAAATAAGTATTGAACACGTCACCATTTTTCTCAGTAAACATATTACTAGAGGTGTTGATGACATGAAATTTTCACCAGATGTTGGTAACAACCCAAGTGATCCATACATACAAAGAAAGCAAACCATAAATGTCCAGAAATGAAGTTATTTGTAATAACCATCTTGGATAAAATGGTCATCCCTTTTTTAAAACAATTTCTTCTGTGTAGAATCATTTAGGTCTAAATGACCATGTAAAGACCAGGAACCCCTGAGACATCATGGTCCAAAGAACCGAAAAACAAAAAGTTGCAACAAACAGAAAAAACAGAAGCCTCTGGATGCAAAGTCATAAAAACTCAAAGCCAAGAAGGCGAGGCTCTAAATCATTTATATCATGTCACAATGACCTTCATTTTACAAAGTAATATTAATAATAAAATGAATGAGAAAAAAAGAATATATAGCACTTAACATACCTCATGATGTAAGCAAAACATTACAG